GGGGGGGGGGGGGGGGTGGGGTGGGGTGAAATTTTTGGAGAAGACAATCATCATCATCATCATCATCATCATCATCATTATTATTTTGGCATTTTGTTTAATTAGGTAACTTGTTTTGACAAATTTGTCCTCCACTTAAGTTGTCTATTTGGGTTAAAATTAGTATTTCAACGTTGACTAACGATATTATGGACGAAATCAATGATCTGGACTAATGTTGCAGTTAAACATAAAGGTTTGGGACTGTGGCCCAAAAAATGAAAGGTTAGGGTGTAATCTATAACAAAATAAAAGGTGTGCAATTTTCCCTATTTAAAAAGGGTTGGAGACTCTAGGTGGAGTTTCCCCTTATAGATAATTTATTTTATTCCTATAAAAACAAATTTATTAAGTGATATTCGCTTTAAAAAATGTTGTAATATTATCATGAATGACGTTTGATAAAAAGACAATATAAAGAAACAAATAAAACTTCATGACTCCCCACCTACCGTCCCATAATTATTGAATGAGAATCTGCGTTTTTCTCCTATTTAACATTGAATTAGTTTTTTTTTTTTTGGCTTAAATTTGCTATGTTTTTCTCTTACAATAAATTTATTTTGTCACTCATACTTGCTTTTTTAATAGATGATTCCAAAATTATCTATTTTTTTACTATGGGGATATAATTGTGAGGAATTCAATTTAAACGATAACGATATTCCTCAATAAATATTGTAAAGTTAAAAACAAGATGAAACTATCCTAAAAAATTAGGTGTCCTTCGAATCTCTTATTTTTTGTTTCAATCTATATATTTGATATGTAATTTTCTGTATCTTATCAATTTCCTATAATTTCTTATGTTTATGTAACTTTTTTTTTTTTGTAGAAACCTTACACTGAATAAATTACAATTATTTAACTACAATCTATGTTAATTTACATTCGAATCATGTTACAATGTATGTATTTTTTTTATTTTAATTTTTATTGTTGTTACATATCTATAGTCGTACCTGCCACCATCACAACCATCTCCCAATGATAACAATCACTACTCTAACCTTACATATTCTCCATATTCAGCCCAAAAAACCATCACAAACCCAAAAATTAACCACCACTAACTCTTCCACTCCTACTCACTCCATAACACGACTCATCGTTTGTGCAAGAAACCCTCTTGCAACTCTTCTCTTGTGAATCGCTACCTTGGTCAGAGATTGTGAAGGGAGGAGATGGAAGTCATGTGAAGGAAGTGGTCCAATTTAGCAGAGTTGAGCTAGGGGTGGCGGCTCGGATCTTTAAGGTTGGTAATGGATAGAGATAGAGGGGAAACGGAGGAAAGGTTTAAGGTGATGGGATAAGTGTAAATGGTACAGAGAGAGTGGAGGGTGGAGGAGTTGATTTAGGACTAGTTTAAGTAGTGCCTAATTTGTAATATTATTTTCATAACATTAACTTTAGCTCTTAAACATAATAGCATGAATAGGTGAGACATCATGAAAGGGTCAGCAAGCTGCATCGACTAAGGAATAAAAAGTGCTATGCTGAAGGAGGTGGTAAATGAGATGACAATAACTTTAATGTGCTTTATCCACTCATAGAATACGAAGTTGTAAGATATTTGAATAATACTCTTATCATCACAATGCATAGGAATCAAAATGGGAAGAGGAAGGTCCATATCTACATATAACCAACACAACCATACAATTTTAATGGTAGTGTTTATCGTAGCACGATAATCAATGTCAAGGACCGTAGCTTTACTTAGCCCCTTGACATAATCGCAACTGCAGTTTGCCCAATTTCGATCGCATATTGTAAATATTAGTTCAAATTTGAGTTGTAATTTTCTTTTAATTGTAATAGTTATTTTAGTTGTAAAATAGCTCTAATATTTGTAAACGTTTAGTATGATTCCTCTTATTTATATGTCTACTCCTATCACTTAAGCTTTTGTTCTGAATGCTATTATAGGGGGTATTAGTCATTCAAAATTCTTTCAAACTCACTGGTGTCCGCCCCCTTCACTAGCAATTGTAATTTTCTGCTTTTGTCAATTGTAATGTCCAGCTTTTATCAATAAGCTTTCTACAAAATTGTAATCAAATTTTCTTTCGTCCCAACGTGATCGAGAAAAGGCGGAAGGTAGTCTAACGGAGCAGACTACTACCACATAATGTCCCTTTCTGTGCCAAGAAGAAAGGCACCCCGTGAAAGTTGGTATCAAGGCTGCGGCTCACGACCCTCGATAAGAAAGCTATGGATCCAATTACATCCCACACCATTGAGGTGGGAAAGCCTCAAAAGAAGAGTACTACTAAACAGCGCATGGATGCACTTGATGAGACAACTACTAGGTTTTGCTATGCCGTGGACGGTCTCAAGGAAAAAGTCGAGATAGCAGAATCCGAGATTCGTTGATTATACATCCAACTGGATGAAAGCCAAAGGGCTTGCGCAACAATGACTGAAGTTATTGCAATCATTCCTGATCTGCAAGATGAAATGAAAGCGTTAAGAGCTCAATTACGAAGACTCAAATGTGCGATGGGTAATGGACAAGCTTCCGTACTTGAGTATGCTCCTAAACTCAGAATTCCTGAACCGTATACCTACGGAGGGGCACGTGATGCAAAAGAAGTCGAAAACTTCTTGTTTGACATGGAACAGTACTTTCTCGCAGTTTCGATCGAAGACGAAGCAAGAACGGTAACCATAGCTACCATATATTTGGGTGGAGATGTAAAACTATGGTGGCGAACCAAATACGCTGGTATTCAGGTCAATAGGGTCCGAATAGATTATTGGGATCTCCTCAAGGAAGCGATGAGATTGCAGTTTTTCCCAAAAAAATGTCGAGTATTAGGGTCGGCAAGCACTTTGAGAACTGAAACATACAAGCCCTATCAGAGAGTATGTGAAAGCCTTTTCAGGACATATGCTGAATATTCGAGATACGTCGAAAAATGATAAGCTCTTCACTTTTATGAAAGGGCTGAAATCGTGGACATGCACAGAACTTCAAGGACAAAAGGTTACTGATTTGAGCGCGGCCATGAGAACCGTCGAATGTTTGAGCGACTACCAAATGAAATCTAGAAAAGATCGACCTTCGAGGAGTAATCAAGCAATTGGAGGTGGTAAAAAATCTTACAGACCCAACTTGAATTCAAATGGGGGAGAGCGTTACTCTCAAAATAAGGGAGGAGCCTATCAAAGCACCCGTGGATTTCAGGGAAATTATCATAATAGCCGTCAAGGAAATTATAAAAGCAGCAACAGTAACAACTAGAGTAAAGGAAAAGTAACAGAGGGCTGAGCTGATGCCACTCCCAAATTGACGTGCTTTTTATGCAAAAGACCTCATCGGGAGTTGGAGTGTCCTCAAAAACGGATGGTGAGTCAAGTTCAAAGCAAGAGGTCCCACAAGATAGTTGTCATGGTAAAACTGACTCCGAAAAGGATGAAGATGTAGTTGGGCCATTTTCACATTGGTGCAACACACTGTCGCATCGGGTTATTGAAAAGGATGATGTACCCTTGAAAGAGGCAAAGACGGAAGAAGCGAAGTCTCATATTTGTAGGGCCAAAGGCTTAATGTACATTGATGTGAAGATCGATGAGAAGCTAATCAAGGCTATGATGGATACTGGTGCTACCCACAACTACCTTGCATGTATCGAAGTAAAGAGACTCGGACTTGTTCTAGAAAAGGGTAGTGGGAAAATCAAAGCAATCAACTCCGCTGCTCAACCAATAGCTGGAGTGGCGAAATCGGTGTTGATCAAAGCAGGTCATTTTGAGGAAAGGACAAATTTATCTGCAGTTCAA